CAGAGATCCGCCTGAGCAAAACACCAGGAGCAGGTGCCAGGGAGTATTTGAGCAAGAGACCTAGGAAAACTGTCAAAAACAGGGGCAGGGAGATGTTAAGGGCAAAGGCAAGCCCACACACTTGTGAGCCAGAAAAAGGAGACCAGTGGAGACAGTTCACTAGCTTCTTTCCAAAAATGGCTTTGTCGCTCATTCACTCCCCACCACAGCTTAGGAGCCAGGACACAAATCAATCCTGGAACAGGTAACACCTTGCTCCCCTTTACAGCAATGGCAAACATCAGATTAGCTGAGAGCGGACTTACTTCAAGTGAGAGATCTCTTTGCACCGAGCAAAGTCAGGCGGGTCATTTCCTAGGCCTTCCTTATATTTCCTTGCATTAAATCTCAATGATTGAATTCAGGTTAAACACTTAGTCTGCTCAACTTGTAGGCGAGTAAATTTGACAGTGCTGTAGAGGCTGAAGATCTGTCGATGGGAATAGAAAAATTGCCCCTCTTTCAAAAGCTAGTTATTTATTTCTAAGTAAACAATGCTTTTTAGAAGAGAAGCTTTTTTGCAGACTGCCTCAGAAATCATGCTTATTCACACTTTAAGAGATTAAAGCAACAAGGGAGTGGGAATGTGCTGCAGCTCTCTCTTAAAATTAAGTTTCTTGCCTGGCAGCGTAGAAGTGAAACAGATACTTATTTTGCAATTGTGGGCAAAGAACATCAAAATAGGCCCACCACCAAATCCTCCAGCTGTTCAGCCTAAGCACCAGAACAAGGACAGAGCTATCCATTTCATCTTCCACAATAGCATAAGGACATACATCCTGCCGTGCTTGGCTTTTAATCGCCTCCTCCTCAGCCTTCATTCTGTGTTTAGGCTAAGCATGTTCTGCTCCTTCCCAAAAAGTAAGCTTCAAAACCCCACCTACCCAGCTAATTACCAGACTTCTTAAAAAAAAAAAAACCAAAAACAAGCCTCTCCGACCAGAGTATTCACATACATTTGGGAAAATCAGCTGAACAACATTTTTGAAACACACAAGGAAGAAAACAATTTGGTATTAAACAAATTTACTAAAAATAATGCATATAAGTGTCTCTGCATGAAATAGCTAAGTGGTATTTCAAGATATGCTACCTAACTTTCTAACGCAAGCAATGCAACTGCTTGAGGTTGGATCATTTCCACTGGGAAAAGCACAACAGTAATGAGTATGTCTTTTTATTAGAATAAGGAAGGGAGTTTGGCAGAGAAATGCAGCACTGATTGCTGGAAAGGGGAGGAGTAGCTTGAGGATGCATTTTTGCTAGTTCCAACAGTAATTCTCCAGGAAAATGTTTCCCCTTTTGTGTCAAGGTACTCAGTGGCTGGGCAGATACTATATCTTGGTCAGAGTTACAGTGTATTTGATATATTGCTTCCAGCTGAATCCTTGTTAAGCAGTGTTGATTATTTTTTCCAGCCTGTGTCATCTAACCTTGTATGACATGAGGCTATATTCTCATTTTCCAGTTAATAACAGGGGTTTAAGGTTTATAACATCCATCCTTGGAACAGAAAGGTTAAGAACAGAAAGCTATGGTTTTTTTCTGTTGCAATCACCCATGAAGAAACTTCATGTTATAATGAAAATAAACAGAAACCCCAAATACAGAACCATTGCTTTCAGTACTGGCTGATTCTGTTGTCTTTGACATGTAAACTCAAAAAAATGTACAGTACAATTTTAAAAGAAGATGTGATGACTGAGTGGACTGGCAAACAAAAGTGGAGAAGATAGGAACTGCATTAGAAGATAAGCGAAGTCTAAAAGGGAAATTCAATATTAAATTGATGAGTAACAGGAAGTCCATGCATTAATACGTCTGCAGTAGCATTAACTGAATGAAAAGCATTTTCTTTCCTGTCTTCCTGACTGATACTGTGGAAAGCATTGGATATGGAATATGGTAGAGTTAATGTTTATTCAGAATTCAAACCTCCCAACTCTCTTCTTCTTACTAAGTAACCATATTGGTCTCAATTACTGGAAATTCTCAGACCAGTACAAAGTTAATGATACTCTGTAGAGGTGCAAGTAACGGCTACAGCAAGCTCATTGCAAGACTGGCAGCTCATTTGAAAAAAGCAATAAATTTTAATCTTAATCTCAAGAACTATCAGAAGTCTATGAAATTCTATGCTAGTTTTAAAATTCCGACCATGTTGTTTGGCAGCTCATAACAAATAACCCAAAGCTACTGCAGAAGAGAAACCAGCAAAAGGTGAAAAAAGAAGAAAGAAAAGAAGAGACACACACATGAATTTTGAAGCAAGCCTACTGCAGCAGAAGGTCAATGTGGTGGGAAGGGAATGATTAAAAACTGCAAGCTGCTTTATTTTCAACACTCTACCAGAGAGTAACGTGCAATTTGATTCTCACCCTTAATTTGTGCATTTCTCACGGGAATTTGGCAAGGTTGCTCCGAAGAAGAAAGTTTGAAGAACTGAGACACACACATGAATTTTGAAGCAAGCCTACTGCAGCAGAAGGTCAATGTGGTGGGAAGGGAATGATTAAAAACTGCAAGCTGCTTTATTTTCAACACTCTACCAGAGAGTAACGTGCAATTTGATTCTCACCCTTAATTTGTGCATTTCTCACGGGAATTTGGCAAGGTTGCTCCGAAGAAGAAAGTTTGAAGAACTCTTGCAAAATACACCATGCTATGCCAGATCAAGCAAGCTATCAGTTATTTACATTCATTTCAAAAGACACAAAGGAAGCCATTTATTTCCACCATATCTGCACTTTTAAAGAGAAACCAGTTAGGACAGAGCTGGTCCCAACACCAGAGTTTGTCCATACAGACCAACCAGCATAGCTATTCCAGAGTAAACACTTAAGTTTGATCAAACTACCCTGAATTAATTCACAGCTACTGAGACTATCCCAGGACACAGCTAACTCGGGAGGGAACACACACGTTAGGAAGTCATCCTAAGCTTGTGATACTGGGGCGTTTCCTAGTGCGGGCAAGGGAAGTCTTCTGGCTACCAGGGAAAGCAATCTCTGTTCTGCACCTTCCAAGGCATCCAGGAGAATTTTTAAGAAGCCTATTTTAAGCACAAGTTGCAGGAACTGGAAGGAGGCATATTTGGCTTAGCCACAGTTGCAGGATTAAAATGCACACCTAATTCTCCCAGCTATTAAATAAAAGGACTCCTATGTTAACACACAGGAGTGCATTTCATCTCTTTCAGAGGAAATAAAGCGACCAACATAATATTCATTTCTTCAGACACATTGCTACAAACAAAACTAGAAAAAACACGAGTCTCACGACAGGTTAAGAACCCCATCGTGCTATCTGGAGTCTGAATAACCAGGGTGGGGGGAGAAGAAGAACCCTATGCCCACACATGCAGCAAAATCCATCTTAACTAGCCGACAGTTAAGTGGCATAATTGAGTTTCCCAGATCCGAGCTGCACATCCCCCACAGCCGAGGGAGGCTCTCCCTCATCTCTCCTTCAACAGCTCTGAACCCAAGTAAGATTTCCCCATCACTACACAGAGGCAGAAGGGGATAAAAGACAACCACTGCTGCACTGGTCAGGAAAAAGCAGGAGTATGTTCACCTTCTATGCGTGAAGATGAAACAAAGATGAGGAAATGAATGGGGTAACCCTCCAAATCCCCAAAATTGAGTTAAGCAGGAAGAAAGAGACAAAATGCCATGCTGTCAAAGTTCAGTGTGTGGACAAAACAGCACCCGAAATTTCAGTGGTAATTTAAATTTATTACCTAGAAAGACCAATCCCCAATTTACAAAGTTCTTTTCAAGGTAACTTTTGCAGTTGATAAAAGGTGAACTCAAATATTCCCCATCAGCCTAACTGTGGGGTCAGTGCAGCTGTAAAGATCTCCCCTTTCAGCCAGATCCACTCGCAGGGACTGAGCTGCTCGGGTGATACTTTGGTCAGATCTCCCCAGGTACGAATGAGCAGCTCCGTGGCACTCCAATGGCTTTCAGCTTTCCAGCACAGGAGTCCACACATCCAAGCTGTTTGAAATTTCACTTAACTATTTCTGTAAAGCACCTTCCTGCACAGCCCATACACTGTTGTTACTTGACTTGCAGGGAGGAACAGTTTTAAAAAGGGAAACAAAAAAAGTTTTTGCCTTTCTCATAAGCAAAAGCTTCTAACGGGAATTAAGATGCATTTGTCAGGTCAACACCTCCTACAATTAATACAGGATGAGAAAGCCTCAGTCCTGTTACGATGCAACTAATACACAGCCTACACCGGAGAGGTAGAAAGGGTCACGTCTTTGCTGAGCCTGTGGTCCCGGGGGCAGAGGAAAGCCTAGGGAAAAAGACTCTGAAGAGCAGCACCAAGAGGTGCTTTCGAATACATTTTAAGACCCTGAAACTATTTATGAGTTACAAGATCAAAGCGTCAATCAAAACAACTGGAACACGAGCACAGAGCTGAGATCGACCGGCTGAGCCTATGAATGGAGCTAAAATGCCTTGTTTGTCTCAGCACGTGTGCGTGCACTAAGCCTGAAAGATACGGGTGACCTACCCGAGCAGCCCACCCGCTCCTCACTGTCAGGCCAGCTGAAAAAGCACGGAGAAGACACAGCCAAGTAACGGGCGCGGATTCCCGTCAGCGGTTCTCGTTATAATGGACAAATGAGTGGAAAAAGCAAGAAAGAAAACAACCTTGCTTGGCTCCATGCCCACACACACATCCCAGTGCAGTGGGGAAAAGAGGCCGGGGGCACATACCAGCCGTGTATCAGCTTTCTGGCCCAGGGAATGGGCAGATCTGGCAGATGCCTAAACACAGGGCGCTCCCTGTCCCGAACGCACCTTCCTAAACCCCTCCGCAAGCAGGAACCCAAGAAGACCACTCTACAGAGCTCCCTCGCCTTCCTGGCCAGCTTGCCGTAGGAAGGCAGATGCTCACCACCACTGAGCAGCAACCCCATGCCCCCGCCACAGGCACAAGCCCACCTTTCTTGAACTCCTCCAGCATGGCATCGAGCTTGGTGTCGTTGAAGACGAAGTGCAGTGGATGGTTGTAGAAGCGGGTGATGGTCTTGAGCGGAGTACAGTCATCGGGGTCCACAAAAGCCAGGTCCTTAACAAAGAGCAGGTCCACAATGTTGGAGCGGTCACCCTCGAAAACAGGGATGCGAGTATAGCCGCTCTCCATGATCTCAGACATAGTGTTGAAGTCGAGCACAGCCTCGGCAGCGATCATGAAGCAGTCTCGGAGGGGAGTCATCACGTCCTCCACCGTCTTGGTGCGCAGCTCCAGGGCTCCTTGGATAATGTTGAGCTCCTCCTTGACTAGATCGTTGTAAGGGTCGGTGACCCGCAGCATCTCCAACAACTTCTCACGGTTATAGACCGTGCCAATCTCCTGGCCCAGGACACAGTCCAGCAACTTGCTGACGGGGTAGGAGGCCGGGAAGGTCATCATCATGAAAAACTTGGTGAGGAAGATGGTGTTGGCGCCCACGGCCAGGCCGTGCCGAGAGCAAATGGCCTGCGGCACGATCTCGCCGAAGATGACGATACCGATGGTGGAGACCACCACGGCCACCAGCCCAGAGCCGGCAATGTCGTCCAGCAGGATGGTAAGCGTGGTGTTGACCAGGACATTGCCCAGCAGGAGGGAGCAGAGCAGGTAGTTGCCCTGGCGCCGCACGGGCTCGATGCGCTTGGCATAGTTCTTCTCTTTGTCTGTGCCACAGTTCTGCACAATGCGCAGCTCCATGGGGTCCAGGGCCATGAGGCCCAGGTTGAGGCCGCTGAACATGCCCGAGAGGCAGAGGAGGAGCGAGATGAAGATGACCTGCAGCCAGAAGGGCAGCAGGAACTTCTTCTCCTCACCCACGATCATCTTGGTGTCCTGGGTCTTGCGCAGGGGCTTGATCTCGATCTCGATGATGCCCGAGGTGCGGCGGTTGAGCACGATGTGCGGCAGGATGATGATGTC